ATAACATACAATATGACAGTAATTTAAAAAGTAATTTCAGGAGTCTGTCAACCAGAAGCATAACAGATACAGCTTCTTCTTTTTTTTTTTTTTATCTCAGTTGCAGATAGACTACATTCCATTCCATGTAGATACACTACATCATTTAATATATCCAATGTAAGCTGTGACAGTTTCCACTTTATGAGTGATTTCCCTGAATAAAGGCTGGTTTGAATCTTGTAAGAGGCCAAATGTCTAATCTGCACTTAGTGACATCACAAGGTCTTTAAACCCAACCTTATCTGACCATCAGCAGAAGTGAATGCAAACTGCCTGCATCCAAACTCAGGTGTCATTTCAAGACTGATTTGTTTTTAATAAATTGTGCTTTAATGTGTCTGTTTTGCAGGTTCAGAGGTGAGGGCTACCAGGAGGGGTTTGAGAGGGGGACCAGTCGGGGGCTGAAGGAAGGACGCAGACATGGAGCCTCCCATGGAGCCAAGCTGTCCTCTGAGGTAAGGAAGGTAGATTAGGGGTTATGTTTGCAATTAAAATGACGCCATCTGTCAATCAATTCAGTAGGCACGTCCGCAACTGATCAGTTGATGATGGCAATTTGTCCTGAAGTGAAACGCCCCTTACCTGCAAGAGCTGCACACCCTTTTCCTTAGACAATATTGTCGGGATTTTGCATTATGGACACTTTACAATTATAGAGATTTCGTGAAAAATAATGTGAAAAAATGTTTAAGCATTGTTAGAGGGGAACATGCAATTCAGACATGTGTTACCCTGAGTGTTTAGAGGGTGGAATACAGTTTATTCCATTTCCAAAATCTAAACTGAGTCTGGAACAATGTAAAAGATGGGTAAAGGCCAGTGGCTGACCTCAAGAGCAGCTGAATGCAACAGTGATAAAGGAGAACTAACACATGTTCGACTGTACGAATATAACTGCAAGTAAATCTTACATTTTTTGTCATAATTACATTTTATGCTCCATGGTTAAACTAAATGTTAATGCTTAAAGTTAGTTGTGCTTTGTTTTGCGTGTTTTGTATGTAGATACAGTGCATCCAGAACGTATTCACAGCGCTTCACTTTTACCAGCTATTGTTAGGTTACAGTATCTACTCTTTCCTGAAAACTCTACACACAAATACCCCATTATGACTATGTGAAAAAAAAAATTTTTTTTGAGATTTTTGCAAGTTTATTAAAAGTAGAAATCTAAAAAATTCACATTTACGTAAGAATTTCACAGCCTTTGCGTAATACTTTGTTGAGCCACCTTTGGCAGCAATTACAGCCTTAGTCTTCTTGAATATGATGCTTCAAGCTTAGCACACCTCTCTTTAGGCAGGTTTTCCTCCTTTCTTCTTTGCAGTACTTCTCAAGCTCCATCAGGTTGGATGGAGACGTCTGTGCAGACTGTTCAGATATCTCCAGAGATGTTCAGTTGGATTCAAGTCTGGACTCTTGCTTGGCCAAACCAGGACCTTCACAGAGTGGTCCTGAAGCCACTCCTTTATGATCTTGTCCATGTGCTTTAGGTCGTCCTGCTGAAAAATGAATTGTCGCCTCAGTCTGAGGTCAAGCAGTTTTTCATCCAGGATATCTCTGTAGATTGCTGCGTTCATTTTCAAGGTTCTTTATTGTCAATCGCATCACGTGTAGTACATGAGGTGGAACGAAATTGTGTACTCAAGGTCCCATTTACACCCAAAAACAGCAAAAATATAAAGTATAAAAGAAACAGTATATGAGGGTCTAAGGTACATACTAAACAACAACAATGCAAAACCATGCGGTATACTAAACAGCAACTCAAACATGAGTCTGTAGTGAGCAGATGGTAATGAATGAATGAATACAGCAGCATAAAGGCAAGAGATCAGCAGCATGGACAATCTTTCATGAACATCTTCCCCTCTATCCTGACTAGTCTGCCAGTTCCTGCTGCTGAAAACCATCCCCATAGCATGATGCTGCCACCACCATGCTTCACTGTAGGGATGGTATTGACCTGGTTATGAGTGGTGCCTGGTTTCCTCCGAACATTACACCTGGCATTCACACCAGAGTTCAATCTATGTCTCATCAGACCAGAGAATTTAGTTTCTCGTGGTCTGAGAGTCCTTCAGGTCCTCTTGTCAAACTCCAGCCAGGCTGCCGTGTCCCTTTTATTAAGGAGTGGCTTTCGTCTGGCCACTCTACCATACAGGCCTGATTGGTGGGTTGCTGCAGAGATGGATGTCCATCTGGAAGGTTCTCCTCCCTCCATAGAGGAATGCTGAAACTCTGACAATATGACCATCGGGTTCTTGGTCACCTCCCTAAGGCTCTTCTCCCCGATCGCTCTGTTTAGACAGCTGTCCAGTTCTAGGAAGAGTCCTGGTGGTTCCAAACGTCTTCCATTTACAAATGATGGCGGCCACTGTGCTCATTGCTTCAAAGCAGCAGAAAGTTTTCTGTATCCTTCCCCAGATTTGTGCCTCAACACAATCCTGTCTCAGAGGTCTATAGACAATTCCTTTGACTTCATGCTTGGTGTTTGTGGTCTGACCTGCACTGTCCACTGTGGGGCCTTTATATAGACAGGTGCCTTTCCAAATAAAGTCCAATCTACAGAATTTACCACCGCTGGACTCCATTTAATTTGTAGAAACATCTCAAGGGTGATCAGTGGAAACAGCATCTGAGCTCAATTTTGAGCTTCATAGCAAAGGCTGTGAATTCTAATGTAAATGTGATTTCTTAGTTTTCTGTTTTTAATAAATTTGTAAAAATCTCAAAATAATTTTTCACTTTGTCATAATGGGGTATTGTGTGTAGAATTTTGAGGAAGGAGATTAATTTAATACAATTTAGAATAAGGCTGTAACATAACAAAATATGGAAAGAGTGAAGTGCTGTGAATACTTTACAAATGCACAGTATATGTAGGAACTTGTAGTTGTAAAAGTTTTATCTTTCTTTGCTGTGATCTGTTAACACAAAACCGATTTTGCACAGCATTTGATTGTGTAATGTAAAATTTACACTTAGTATGTACCAATTTTCACTGTAAATTCTTGCCCTGTGTTGCTCTGCGGCATTAAAACATTACTGCAGTAACTATTTTAAGTTTTATTAGTATCTCAGAATTTATTTTTGCATCTTCGTTGACTTAATGTTGGCTGATAATGCAGACAGCCCTCACCCAATGCCTCAGGTAACGCTGTGAGCTTCACTGCCTCTGCCATGCAGCTGTCTTTGTTTGTTTGTCGAAGGTTAGCCCACCCTGGGTTACATTTCCACGAGGGTGGAGTGGTCTTACATGTCACGTCAATTACTTATGGGTTGGTGTCTGTCTTGGATTCTGACTGCTCTCCTAATCTGGACCCACTGGCCAGAAGTTGAAACCAGATTCACTCCTGATGCCTGTTGGCTCATCTGATCGAATTCTAGCACAGAATAACCGTCTCTTTTCCTCAGACAGGTTTCCTTCTATTATGGCTTTGCCATCACGTGGAAGTGTCTTCTGCAACACAGCACAGATAACAAATCCAGGTAAGGGCTTCTTAAATTAAGATGAAAATATCTCAGTTTTTAATCCCACATTCTGCCTCTCAGAAAATTTGGGAGGAAATGGAAAATGCTCTTTAAAATGAAAGAAGTGGCTCCAGAACTGTGCAAAATTTTATAAAAGTCACATAATCATGATTCTATTTTATCACAATTTATTGTCCATCCATTCATCATCACATTTTTTGAAAAGTTCTTAAAACTCAACTCTTTCTTCAGAATGATTTTGGTTTGATGGTGTTTCCATACTGTGTACTTTTAATAAGGTCGTGTACAGAGTATACTGTGTACTTTTACTAAGGTCATGTATACAGTATACTGTGTACCTGTTAGGGATGGGGCCAATCCAGTATCGGGCTCCGATACCAGCATAATTTACGTATCGGATTTTTCCAATCCAGCCTGCAGAGATTTCTGATCCATGATGCATGTCTGTGATGAAACTTCTCCTCATGTGATTCCCTGACAGCTGCTCTGCACGTTGGCTTCAAACTATGGACTGGATTTCCTGAATGGAGGCGTGTCTCATGAACCCAGAGTAATGAGACCCACCTCACATTCAGGAAATCCAGTTCATAGTTTGCAGCCAGCTAAAACGTGCAGTAGCACTGTGGCTAACAGCTAACTAACTTCACCTAAACATGTCCGCTGTGTTGAAGTATTTTACACTAGAAACGCCACAAAGCAAGACAGCAACGTGCAATGTCTGCAGAGCCATAGCGCCACATTAAATCGAGGTAAAGTTAGTTTTGCGTTGGACATTCAAGCTCTGTGGCTTCAGCGGTTCACTCCCCTCATTCAACCCGAAGCAGGCAGCCTGACCCCGGCCAGCCGCGCCCAATCCTCCCCGCTCAGTCTGCCCGTCTCGGAGGAGAGGCAGACTGAGCGCAGCTGACCGAAATCAAACTTCCTGCTTCGGACCGAATGAGAAAAACACACCGCTGAGGCCACAGAGCTCGAATGTTTACTGAGAAGTTACTAAACTTCATCGTAGTTAATGACAAACCACTATCGGTTGTAGAAAACAAAGGATTTCTCAGCTTGATACTTG